GCAGAACCACAGAAATGAAATAGCTGACATGGGACAGGGTAGACGGAGAGCTGCGCTTCGCTAAGATATGATGCAAAGATGCTGAACGTATATCCTAGTGGGAGAAAATCCTCGGATCGGGGTGCATCTCTCGACTTTCAGCCTGAACATCATCATTATTCACTTTCCAATCGCAATAGAGTCGCATATTGGGACCGAACGAAACGAAAGAAACAAAAGTTTCCAACATCGAAGGCTTTATTCCGAATGAATTAGGTGGTATGATTTCGTTTGAGATTTCATTGGAATCCTTCCTCTGATCTTCCTAGGCATCCGAATAATTACATTGTCAATCTCATTCCCTACGGCGTCAGTGGAGAGCTCGTGGTTGCTTCGGCTTCGCCAACATTGGACAGTAGCTCATAGTATGGGCGAAGTCGCCCCCTCCGTTGTGGCAGATGCCGCAGCTGTAAGCCCAAAGCCACGGACAGCGCACGACGCCCTGGGGGTCGTGTAAATTGTGCGAAAGAAATACTTCGCGCGGCTGTCCGTTCTTCCGACAGAACGCGCAGTATTCGAGCGACGGCGTCGCTCGCGGCATCGGCTGCACCCGTCGTTCCCGCACATGAAGCTCTTCAGTACTGCAATATTCCCCGGAAAAGAGACTTTGCGGCTCATTCCAGGGGTAGCCGGTCTCTGCTTTCTTCTGACGCTCCTGAGCTTCTTGTCTCGCTCGCTCCGGCGCCGGGACGGAGTATTCGAGTTTGGACGAGAGCAGGTTGAGCCACTCACAAGTCATTAGAGTTCGAAGCACACTCGACTGAAGATTGCTCGAGTGCTTGAAACTTTCCGGATAGATTCAACTTTCTTTCTCTGATCCGTTTGCCCTCCTTCCAGAACCGCTTCTCTATCAGCCAGGAATCCTCATGCTGTTTCAAGCTTGGTCAGTAAAGATTCAAGTTTCGGGAGTCAATGACTTTATTGCTATCACATTAACGGGGGTATTATTATATCGCCTTCGCCCTCACCGAAGCCGTTTCTGGTGGAAATCCCGTGGCTGTTTCGGGTGCGCTAGCGTCGGACAGTAACTCATGGTGTGGGCGAAATCGCCGCCCCCATTGTGGCAGATGCCACAGCTATACGCTCTAAGCTGTGGGCAGGTGATAATGTCGTTGCGATCCTTCAATCTGTGAGATTTGAAAACCTCGGGCGGCTGCCCGTTCCTACGGCAGAACGGGCAGTAATTGAGTGCCGAGACCGGG